TATGTATTTACAAAGTAACAATTATGTATCACTATAAAATTTTGTATCCATAGTCCATAGTCCAACCATAGTCATTTGGGTATTAAGTTCGGCTAATAATAATAAAAACACAGTTTTAATAAAAATCAAATATTTTTATGTTGTAGATAGATACATTTAATAAATAGGGCTCATCGATGATTAGGATAAATCATTAGAGCGATCATCTTTAATAGTATTTTGCCGGTTGCGAAAGTCAAATGTGTTTACGTGTTAAATCATCACCTGAATTGTTGTGGAATAGGACAGGTGTCAACATCACAAGAAAGAAATTAAACGGTCGCAAGTTGCGAATCGTCGCAATCTATTAGAGGCCTTAGAGAGAGTGGAATGTACATATCTTTTCTGTTTTACGTAATTTTTGAGTTGGTATTTATATCTTTGTTTTTCTATTTTGTTCCCTAATACCTATAATATTGAGTAATTTATCACTTTTAACTTAAAATTATATTGTCTTTGTAAAAGAACAGGTGCCACTAAATACAAAAAGAAAGAAGAGAAAAAGAATCATTTTGTGATCACAGAAAATAGTTTTATTTGATTTCTTCTGAGAAACTCGATATAATTAGTGTTCTTATTGCGAGCGACTGTTATTTAAAAAAAGAAATGTCGGATATTAAAAAACGATATAAAAATCCGCCATCCACTTTCGGTAATGCGAGAAAAATTAAAGTTAACATTGCTCATGAACAACAAGAAAGACGCAAGAAACGCAGAACGCAAGAGTTTGAAGAAAATCGGAAGGAAAACATTCCGCGCAGCGTGTCACAGAATGGTGAGTTGAGATTATGAAAATATTATGCAATTATCAGGTCTTGTTTTATTTGGAATCTTCATTTATACAGAGTGTCTGATCCAGAATGTCAGATACTCTATACTCTATATACTCTATATAAATGACGATCTATGATAATGAAGCACTTGTATTTATTCTTAGAATTATGTGACCATATTCTATATATATAACTATATATATAACTATCTATTATTATTTATATAAAGTATACATAAAAAGTTTTTTATCAAACTTAATCTGATATAAATAATATAATATAAATAAAAAATAATATACAAAATAATATAAAATAATATAAATAAAAAATAACAATCATACTGCAGCATTTGTTTATCTCGTAAAAAGTAGAATCTTTCATTTTACAGTGATATTAAAATAGTTTATAGTTTATAGATATTAAAATAGTAAATACTATATGTGTATATTTGTTATCGAAATATTTATAAAAATTATTTGACTAAACAAAAATCTCGACGTTTCAAAAACACATTTAATGTTGCAGATAAAATAAAATTTTCAAATTGGAAAGCGGAGCAAGAGAAAAAGAAAAAAACGAAACCACAGAAAAAACCCCCCTTTATAGTCGGAATTGTTCGTCATTCTTTTTATTCCCCGATATCTAACACTGCATTTGAACCTACGAAAAAGAAAAAATCAATTGGACAAGAGCAAAAAAATTCCAATATTAAAAAAAGAATTACAAAAGCTACGGAAAAACGATTGTTAGCTAAAGCAACATCTGCGACAAAAGAAACATGTGCGACTTCGTCCGGAGAAAAAATAAGGACCGATAAAGTCAAGTCTGATGTCAAAAAACGGAAATCATTTGCTCCATCTAATCATAAATTTAATCCTCCCGCTGGGTTACCTAAGATAACTTTATCTCAAGAAATGTTAATAGAAGATAATTCGTCAAATAAAAATGATATTTTTGCATGTGATAAATCAGCGGAAAATATTACTACCATTATTAAAAAATCAATTAATTGTGATTCTGATTCCATAGAGGCAATCACATTGAAAGTGTCGATAGGCGAACAAGAAATTTTAAATATTTCTCCGATAAGGCAAATAAATTCAATGGAAAGATCAACGTTGAACAACAGCAATACGGAAATTCCATTTGGTATATCAGAATTTTCTTTACATAATGAAATAAAATACAAAGACAATACTCAGGAAGACACAATCTTTTTAACGCCTAATAATCTTCTTTTTTATTTCTTAATTTATTAGCTAAAAGAACTGCTAAAAAGAATATTAAATTAATATTCGAATATGTCAAAGTTGTTTGTTGTTCTTCCTTTACAATTGCCAATTGGTTGCTTCATTATACTTATTTCATTGCAAGTTGTTTAAAAATATTATTTGTACTTCCGCTATTAATCTTTTCATATTGTCTTGCATATAAGAGCATGACTTAATAATTACATTAACATTAATTAATTATCTCAAATTTATATTAATATATAAATTAAAAATTAAAAATAGATTATTAGATGCCAAAGATTTTGTCTTACAAATGCAAAATATTGTCTATGTATTTTATTTTGTGTTGAATATATTTTTGGTTTATATATTGATTCTTCATACATTTGTCAATAATAGAAGAAAAAAATAATACAAAATAATTTAAAAAAATTTAATATATTTTAGGAGACATTTTAATAATATAAAAATTATAATATAATAAATTATAATATAATAATATTAAGAGAGAAAGCAGCAGAAATAAGTAAAATAATTCTAATCTTTCTTATGTTTCAGAACCATTAAGCACGTCCAATAAACTTGCAATAAAAGATATTGTTATGGATAATTCTGATATGATAAAGGGAGAAGAAGAATATACTGTCAAATATTTTGAGCATATGTTAAATAACGAAAAAGATAGACTTCAGAAACTTTGCAAAAAATGGTCTGAAATTCAATCGCGACATGATACTGCAGAGGATGTTCGATATCGAATTAATCAAGCAGTTGGACAAACAGTTATGTTAATTAAGGAGAAGTTTAAACAGTTTCACGGTTTAATACAAGATTGCATTAGTAAAAACAATGATATATTGATAACTTGTACAGATTTGCACGGATTTTGGGATATGATGTATATAGAAGTGAAAGATTGTGATTTGCGATTTGCAAAATTGGAAGAACTTCAGGCTAAAAATTGGCAAGAAGATCAGTCATTTTTTGCAAAGCCCACTAAATCTAAGAAAAAAATAATTGTTGAAAAGAAAGTTACCGATAAAGCAGTAAAACAAAGCTCAAGAAAATTAATTTCTAATAAGAAGAAAACGAAAAAGAAAACGAAAGAGATAATAGAAATTCAAGATAATAAGATAGATTCACAATGTACAATAAATATGAATGACAAATATATTACACCTTGCAAAAATAATGAAAAAATTATAAACGTTCATAAAGATAACTATAATAATAATAATAATAATAATAATAATAATAATAATAATAATAATATTCTTGAGGTATCTATGAATTATATATATACATCGACACCATTTCCCGACACTACGTCAAACTTGTCGAATCGGATGAGCACTCCACTTATAACAATGAAAGTAAGTCAGTTGTATAACAAATTTACACAATCAAATGACATGACACTCTATACGACTCCTGAATTTACAAATAGTCAAATAGAAAAATCAGAAAAAAGAAGAAGAAAATTAGAATTCCAAGCTAATTCAAATGATTATCTTCCTTTGATAAAATCTGTCGAGAAATTGGAGATTGATAAAAATTTATCAGTTTCGAAGGAAATAAACAATTTTAAATGTGATAACTTAAATTCAAACGACATTTGCATTATACAACAATCGAATTCTACAGCTGATGATTTCAGTGGTGAAACAGTGATTGAACAAACAAGAAGAAAAGACGATGTTACTCTTAAATCTACATTTAATACCGGTTCGATCAAAACTCCGGTTGAATCAAAAAGCAAAACTGCTATTAAAGGATCTTCATCAAGTGAGATCTGTAAAACAAGATCACTCAGTATGCTTAGTACCGGTTCGATCAAAACTCCAATTCAAGTAAAGAGCAAAAGTTCTATTAAAGAATTTTTATCAAGTAAGATCTGTAAAACAAAGTCACTCAGTACAAAGTCACTTAGTATCGGTTCGATCAAAACTCCAGTCCAAGCAAAAAACAAACATTTTATTAAAGCATCTTTATCAAGTAAAGTCTCTAAAACAGAAGGAATTTTGAAGAAATTGAATTGCAAATAAAATTGTAAAAGTTTTTGCAGCTGTCCATCTATGGTAAATATTGTTACACTTTGTAATTCGTTGCCAATTCATAAGTCAGAAAGATTCTATGATAACGCCGAGTACAGATTGATTATCAAAGATATTCATTTTAAAAAATTTTGTAACAAAGCTACCGTTTTGGATAATATTTCAGAAAAATAAAAAATATAATCTAATAAACATAACATTACCATAACATTACATATTGTCGTTATTTTGTGTTTATTAATGTTACATTTTACACGATTACATCGACTTGGTCGTTTATAGAAGTCTTTTTGGATAAAATCGCAAGTGTTTCTTGTTTCGCTATTGCTTTAGCTGTCATTTCTCTATAACTTCTGTAATTTCTTTTTTAATATTGAATTTTTTTGTTCTGATACAATTAATTTTTTCTTTTTCGCACACACAATTGTGACGTTAAATATTAAGGAATAAAAATTATGAAAATTCCAATTATAAAAGAGGATTTTTTTTGTGATTCTGTTTTCTTCTTTCCTGTTTTAATCCAATTTAATAATTTCTTTGGTAGTAGATCCGGTATTATTATAACTAATACTTCTGACATCATAAATTGATGATGAATTGTAAATTATTAAATTAATATTAATATTAAATGTTATAATTTTCTACTCAGCAATGTAATTGTTATATATAGCACACATGTGTAATATTAAATTTATATTATTGTTATAAATAGAAAATTATAATATTGATGTAATCTATTGGTTTATATTTACTGAAAAATTTTAATTTAATGTATTACTGAAACATTCTTGTTTTGTCTTTTTTTCTTCATATTTTTTAATAATTATTAAAAATTTTTTTTCTTTTTAGACATCTCCAAATAAAAAGATATCCATTTTCATGAAATCAATAATGAGTAAATACAAAGAGATAAATACAGGCGCGTGAAAATGTTGATAAAGAAATATGTGTATAATTCCAAAAGTTTTATTTAATGATAAATATTTTAATCTTGATATGTTATCATATTATTACTTATATATCATACTATAGATGTAAATGGTTGTGCATACTATACATATTTAAATTAACATATTAATCCTAAAAGCTATTTGCATTTTAGTATAAAACATTCGTAAGATTTTATTTAAAACAATTGATACTGTTAAGATTGTAATGTTAAGACTGTATTCATATATATGTGATAATTATATTGTAGAATATTATCAAAAATGTTTTATCTATGTCATTTACGATATTATAATAATTTTTTTTGTAATAAATAAAGATAATCGATTATATTGGAAATGTTGAGATGACCATTTTCGCGGAAAGATTCATCACATAGAAGTAAAGGCAATCGTTTATTTAATTTTTTTTCCCAAATGTTTAGATACAGTTCACACAAATATATACAGACGTTACTGAGCACATTTACAACAGTTTTGTATTGAAATATGTAATCGCGCGCTGCGACCAATATACATAAACAAACACGTCGATCTGCTGCGTTCAAGCGAGGTATCAGCCGCGCGTTGCGCGATAATATATATTGTATATAAATAAATTAGACCTAAATTAATTTATATAAATAAATTACTTAGGTATACGGATGTCACAATAGCTAGCGTATTAATTCGCCGTTTGCATCTCGCGAAACGACGGTAATACTAGTCTGATAATAAAGTGTATTGTGTGGTCCTGATCGTTCGCCTTCCGATTGTTGCAGAATCAAATAATCTGACGATCGAACACGCGGGCATCCGCATAAATATAAAAAAAATGATTATAATCTACGAATAAATATCACGTTAAATATGTGCGTTATCTGCAAAATATCGCCTTTCTTTTCCCTTGCGATCGCACGAGCATAATATAAGAACACTGGGGAAACTTTGTGTATTAACGTAATGATATACAATGAGCCGAACGTACAATATATTTCGGCAATGTGCCGTAATTACGAATTAAGCACACTCGAGTTTTCTGGCACTTAGATTAAATCGCGTCGCACACGAATCATTTCGTTTACGTTTGCTTTCCCATCGTAGCGTGTCTCGCGATAATCGCATAAATAATTATATTGTAGATACGTAATGAAAAATTATCGCATCATCTGGAGAGTAGTCCTTCTTAAACTGTTCGCACATAGATCTTAGCTTGAGAGATGGATTGAACTACTTCTGAAGAAAATTTTCGTGTGCCATTGCGATAGAAAAGGAATTCGTCGCAGCAACAATTGATTCCCGATTCTTTCTTTTTGGTTCAGGAATAACGAAGAACGGAATGGATTCAACGTAACGCGCTGCGAAGCACGATGGAAGACTAGATGTCTTCGTGATGCGATTCTGGTCTATATTCATTATAATTTCACAGTATTTAACACATTTAGCTCGAGTGGATGTATGTATTTTATTTCGCGCTTATCCGAGAAAGTTTCCAGTTAAGTGGTCATAGGAAACTCACACACGTACATATATCGATAGAAAATATAACGTAAAAATACACATAAACGTGCGTATTATATGCGCATACGTACACGAGGGATACCGATAACGCGTCGTTGCAATTATTTTTCCAGCCAGCTGATGTCACGTTAGATCTTTCCGAAGTCATTCATTCGTTCGTAAAGATCGATTCACAAGCGAAAATATTCTTTATTAATGCTTACGATACGATTCTTTCGTGCTAGCTTATATAGGAATGAGTTCACAATTTAAATTGTGTAATTATATCTTGACAGAGAGATGCCGTTCGCAATGATAGCAATAAAATATAATCCTGGCGAACCGTTTGTGTTGTGAGATATTGTCACCGTAGTATATCGATTGAACTAAAACAAGTTTCATTATTAGTTCGCTTATCTGTAATCTTAATTTGTAATCTTAATAATCTGTGATCATAATTATATTCTTTTATATCTTATTTACTTCCATCAGATATATATATATCGGTTGGTGACTCGATGTGTTCATAAAATTTGGTCAGACATTTTTTATGCCTCTTAACATCACGATATGCTGCCTATTTGTACGATGTATAATTATTTGTGATTGAGAATAACTTTGAAATAACATCGATGTTATTTCCCATTTATTAGAACTTTAGATATAATCGTATCGTAAATTGCTCGGATTCGTACTTTCGTAGACCGTCGTCCAACTAACGTATTGTCTATAGTTGTTACATAACAAGTTGTGTAATCATTTCGACTTATTGTAACGATAATGATTATCGGGATCGCATCAATCCCCTAAATTAATTGTAAATTCGATCAGGTCATCTCGATAACGTTCTTATGTCAAAACATGAAATATGTCAAAAAGCTCAGGAGATTTTAGATTTAGATTAGCGATATATTCTATAGTAGCTTGGTGATAATCATCTCTTTAAATCATATAGGTACAGCTGATATAGCGAGCCACACTTGAAATATATGCAAAATATTGCACTGATTAACATTTGGCTCCGACAAGCGCGCGACATGATATTCTTGCGATTTTTTTTCTTTCTTGCCATAAGCTGTTCATCGAATTATATCATCGAGTATCCACGTGCAATGAGACAGGTAAAAGATAAAGGTCGATTTACAAACACAACAGGGATGCATTTTTCTCTCGAAAAATATTACATTGGCACACTGTCGGTGCGCACGATCATGTCACTCTCAAACGCACGTCCACGTCTTTCAGCGAGTCTTCAACGTTGCGGCGAGCAGGGCTAAGCTAGGTAAGTCCTGGGATTAGTTTTGGAAACTCCCGCGGGACCGTCCCCCTTGGTCGAGCACGACGACCATGCTTCCTCGGCCAGACTGCCGTATCTCTGCACGCCCGGGAAGGGAGGTCCGGAACTCTGTGGCGAGTAATAACCGCCCTGCAGCTGCTGATAGTAATTGCCGCCTGACTGGTGCTGATATTGCTGATACTGATCGCCACCCGTCAGGACGTTGCTGTAACCCGAATACGAGCCGTACTGGGACGAGGAGTACGAGGAGGAGGAGTAACCGCGCTCGCTCAGACTGCGGTAAGGCCCCGAGTGATGGGGCCTACCCTCCTGTCAGACCGGAGTGCTGACCGCGGCCGAGCTTATGTACTCGATGTCGCCGATGCTCTTCACCCGTCGGTGCCGCTTGCCGCCGCCGGTCGACATCGGCCGCGGTGGAAGTTGCGGTGGCGGCGGCGAGTTGCTGCGGACGCTGCTGCTCATGTATTGGCATTGGCTGGCGAGGCTCCCGGTGTCTGAGGACGACGACGGCGATGCCTTCTCGCTTCTAGGCCGGAGACCGAAAGCCCTGCTCAGGGATCCCTGCGAAAAGATATCGTCGTACGTCTCGATTAAAAAGACCGTAACCCGAAAAATTTGCTCAGGCGGTGGATCTCGACTTTCCAAAGAGAGGTCGAAGCTACGAGCAAACGAGCGATCGGCAAATGCCCAAAGTACTGAATAGAAACGACTCAGACAACACGAAAGAGTAAGTGACGTTTACAAAGAAAATTTTTAAAAGGCATCCGAAAGATCGGAATGTCTCTTAAATGTTTCTCAGTTCAAGTTTCATTTGAATTTTTGCGTTACTGAAGTAATGACTGTGAATTAAGTGAGAAGAAACTACAAAATGTGGAAATTTAGATAGCAACTGTCAAAAATTGAGATCTTCTTCTTTATTAAGACAGACATTAATGGAATAATATTCTGAGTATTATTATTTATAAAATATTGCCATCTAAATTTCATCGTGACACGCTGTATCTTCTAGAATGAGAGGATCGACAAATATGAGACAAAAATTCAGGATTCGCTGGATAGCAGAACGATTGAAGTGATAAAAGCGATGGAAACAGTGCACGTGCTATGACAAAGAGAAGAGCCCATCGTTTTTACCAATTTCTCGTCATTTTGCAGCGAGGTCAGCAAAATGCGGTGGACCCGTTCTGATTATCAATCACAATATATCCAAGTGATACAACGAGTGATACAGCGGGACTATTGGAAATACGTGTGAGGGACACTACACGAATATAAGTACACACTTGAATGTATATTAATGGCGCATACCTGTGAGCTCCTCCACGACAACTAGCAAAAGGACGAGAAATAAGGTTCGATTAAGAATCCACACGCTAAATTTCCACATTGATATCGTCAGTTTATATTTACACAATCGATTATGACGGGCAGTCGCGGTGCCTTTTTGCAATCATAAATAATGGCCCGCTACAAATACGAACGTCTGCTACGTAATTCGAGCTGCATAATGCGTAATTTTAACTGCTACTCGCTATAAAGGTGTACCTTGAAGACACTCTGCTTACATACATGAGGAGGACACGTGTTTGGCTAATGTATATGCTCGTTATATACAGTGTTTACAGTGGCATAACGCTTTCGTCGGTGTACCTTTAGCGCTGAGAATAGGGTATAATCGCGGGATTAGGGGATGCGCAATTTCACGACGTCTGAATAGTACCCGATACAGACTCTGGAATATTTTGTTGCTTCCCTTTCCTAGTATTTTCAATTTATTTACGTCGCAGAATGTGAAATAATTATCGTGTAACCCAATTCCAACGGCAGCGACAATTGAAATGTAAATTTAATTATTAAAATAATTATTAATCTGATAAATTTTTCATCAAAAAAATTTTGTAAAATAAACGAAATGTTTCTACAAATAAATAAAATATACAAATATTTCCGTAACATTTTCTGCTTCTCAACGAACGAATAAGCTCGGATTTTAAATATACATTTCTGCGGTGATGAATAAAAACGATGAATAAAATCCGTTCTCCTCCGCGCAAATATACGTCCTTTTCTCAGCGCGGCAGATTGTCTGGCAATCTAGTTGGACTACAAAGACGGAAAACAAAGAGATATAAGTAGATGATTAAATACAAGGAGGAGATGTTTCCACGATCTATTTCTCTATGATTATGAATAATACGGCTGCAAGGCTTAGGCTCGTACTCCATCAGTCTTTTTCTCTTTTCCCTTGCGAGCGGTTCTCTGACGCTGATTCAATGGGATCGCGTTCTGGTGTCTCGCGCTCGACAGACCGGACACAACAACAAAAATTACTCGATTAGTCCGATTGGTCCGTACAATCTTGTACAATCAAACTTATCGTTCGATTACTCCTTTGCTCGCATTTTCAGAGTCTGTGCGATCGAGGTCGAGATCCATAGAAGCCGTCTGGATCTCAGCGAAGCCTCACTTCGAATAGAATTGATCAATTAATCACGTTAATCGGAAACTTCCCTCTTCTCTGCCTGCTTCGCTGAGATCAAGGATTTCGTTTCTCGAGCGAGGAAGCGCTTCACATGAGAAAAACGCTTCGTCGTTCCACGATACATTTGCCATACTGATGATGCCTATTTTACTTTCCTCGAAAAGAATACGGGCACGACTTTGCGATTGATCGAGATATTAATCTGATTGTCGCGATTAAGATATATATGTCTATAAAAAGATAACAATAAATTATTTGATCGCAGCGTATGATAATTTTTTTTTTTCGAGAAATCATATAAATATTGATTTTAACAGAAATGCTAGAAGATAGACACGATGGCTTACTCATTTGTTCGCGCAAAGACCGCGCAAAGACCGCTTTTACAAAGTCTCTTACAAATTCAAACAAAAAAAAGTTGATTAAGTTGAGATGAAAATAATTGATTATACTGAAATTAATGTAATATAAATTGCCGGTTTATTAGAGACTTTGCAAAACCGTGTGCTATAATTAACCAATACGCAACAATGCAGCGGATCGATTGATTTTATAATGAGGGTTCTATGATATAGAACAATATACAAAGAACTTTTTAGAGAAAAAAACAATGGGTATATATATATATATATATTTATTTATATGTAATAAATACCGAACCTTTTTCAAGTAAAGAAGACTGCAGGTCTGCGACGATCCACAGGATGCAGGGACAATGATTAACGTTAGGTCGAGCTCATAGCTCACAGCGTGAAATTCTGTTATTGACTCTCGTCGTATGAAATCTTTCAACTGTTTGTACTAACTGAAACTTTTTTTCATGTAGCAAAATAAATAATTTTTTTATATTTCATATAATAAATTTAAAATTATTAATTCTACCAAACAAATGCATTGCACATTGGAACAGTTTAGTTTAGTTGTTATTTATTCATCACTTATAAAAACATGATGTTGCGATCAACGATTGATAGGAAAATATGCGTTTTATTTAGCATGTTAAAAATTATTTAATATGTTAAATATTAATATTATATAATAATACTTATTAAATATGATTCTTTTATTATGATGTACATTTTATTCTGTTTAGTTTTTAATAAAATTGAGAGATTCCAAGTTAATTTCAAAAGTATTATTGTTCATAATTTGTTTCTTGACGAGGATCAATTACGTTATCAAGAGAAAATATTTCGCTGTAGGATATTATGCGAGCGTTCTTAACTAAGCGATGCCATGCAGTCGTGCCAATAATTAACAAAAATAAAGAGCTAATGGTCGCACAGATGAAATGCATAAAAGTGAGCGCGAAAAAGGAACGTGGAACGAGAGTAAATGACTGCACAATGCGATTACATTTAAAATGGAATAATCGATCGGTTTTGATGAGTTTCTGCATTTTTATCTGCGTTATATAATTGATTATCCATACAGCGTGTATTGATTATTTATCTAATTGTTAATATGGTTGAGGAAACAGTACCGCAGAAAATAATAAATAATTTCTCGATAGCACATAATGTATATAAGTTGGCGTGGGAGAATTAAATAAATATTTTTATTATTTTAAAATAAAAATTTTTTACATTTAATAATTAAATAATGTATACTTCCCAAGTCTTCTCTTTTAAAGGCTGAATAAAGAAAAAAAGAAGTAATCTATCCATAGGGAAAATATTAAGAATATTACACAGATATCATTTCTCTAAATATCAAATCTTCTAGGATGCAATGATTATGATAAAAACAAGCATAGGCTTAAAGAAGCAACTCGCCACGAGATAACTCTCTAAAAGAGCTTGCACTATCCTTATCACTTTCTAGACTAAATTAAAAAATTGAAAAATTAATTATTCCATTCTACTAGTACAATATAAGAGATTTGTGTGAGATTTTTATGAAGGAAAAAACGAGCACAGGTATGCTCAGAGGCTACTTTGGGCTACATCAGATGATTACCTCGGCAATTAGGCCAAATTAGCGATACTCTTCGTTCGAAAGAGTTAAGGGAAGTGCAGAGGCGAGGCAGGGAGGTGGCATCGAGTTTCTGGTGTGCTTGTGCGCGGACCAGACCCTCGTTGAATCTAAACGGTACGTTACCCTGAGGCTAGATCTGCGTCTGTCGACGGTGCCGGTGTGATTCGCCGTCATGTGGAGGGCCGACAGCGAGCTCTGATGATGCTGTAGATGCAACGCCCTGCTCCCACGACCGAGACTACCTCCTGCACTCGCGGTGCTCATCGGACGACCACCCCCGGTGCTGTTCCTCGGGACCACCTCCAGCTGACTTCTACGCACACACGCACACCACCCTTTTCATGCACGCCTTCTTGCGTACACCTTGGCGCCCTTGATCGCCTGATATGCACATACCTCGGACACACACACACGTGTGACACGTATTACAGCGAACCACTCTTTGAGTATTTATCTTCTCTCGCGAATATTTCAATATAACGATTCAAATCGTTCGTTTGAAATTTCAAAGTACAGGACACGCGAGACAATTGAGTATATTTAGCTAACTAGCATTTTTATTTGTGCTTTTTATTAACATGTGCTATTTTGTAAATTTCTCTTTGATCCTGTGACTTATTGGATTGAATCGATAAGTATTGATAGTGGCTCGCTGTAGGTGCCTGACGATAGAACGAAATCTATCTTATAATGAATATCTAGTTACAACATAAATATACATACACAAGCATTTTGTGCACCACCGATATAGAGTAATGTATAATGTTTACTGGGCTGCCAATACGCCAAGGATGGCCCTGTAGGACCGACTGAGACGCATTTCCAGCCACGCTAACCAGTCAACGAGAGTAAACATCGAACAGTCAAAGATATATGTAAATATCAAAATTGGCAAATCAGAAAAAGATAAAAGGAATCATAATGCAAGTGGTGTGATTCCTGGCCAGAGAAACATTCGGGAAGTCTCGTTCACGAAACACCAAGGGAAAGACAAATGAAACAGTTTTTTTCGCAATACTATTAATAAGAAGGGGGGGAGTTACCAGTAACACGATTCGTCTAACAAGAAATCTATTAAAAGTTTTGCTTGAGGGTTGCCTAAATGAATGGAAGATATTTTCTGCTTCCAGATAATCTTCCGGAGATACAGAAGAGAGTGGGCGAGGGGACGAGGTTTCTGACCAAGGATTACACCACGATCACTAAGATTAACATGTGCTGTACATAGCGCAGTGCAGTGCAGGCGGCAGCTGTGGGCTACGGCTCAGCTATGAAAAACATTACCGGTGGATCCGCGATCGAGTGGACTGCAGACCCAGCGAATCGCGCGCTGCAACTGTGCCGAGTACTCCGACGAAGTACTCTGGCACGTTCCACTGGGTGATAATCGCGTATGTTTGTATATGTACATTTTATCTATAAATGTTGATTGTAACTGTACTGTTTTTACGTGTGTGTATGCCCGATATATCCAGGTATGGCATGTGTATTAAGACTACGAGTACCTTTTTTTTGCGACGTTCGACGCGATCGAGAGTCGTCGAACGAGCACGCTTTTGCTCTATCTATAGCTCGATATATTAAGGGAGTTCACATTTCAGTTAAATTTTAATTTTAATTACTTGATGTGCTTGATAAAGGCAATTCATCGAGGCCATTAGTAATTTTTAGCGCAGCTTGATGTCCACTCAATATCAATGAGGACTTTTACTAGAAACTGTAAAAGTTAAAATGAGTCCAATCGAATTAAATTGGCAATTCAAATTAGCAATTATCCACGTGTTCCAAAAAGAGCATCATAAAATCCAAATAAGAATCGTGCACTCCCTTCATAGCTTTTTCATTTCCGAGTTGGTTCCCAGAATATTTACAACTTCCTCTCGAGATTCCTTAGCGATAGTTAAATTACGTTCTATCGATTACGAAAGCTTTTTGCGGAAGTTCACGAATACGTTTCTTACACGATATAACTAACTTTACTCGTAGAAATTCTGGAAAAGTAACTGCCTATTGATTAACGGCGACTATACAGTAACAATTCTTTCTCTCTTTCTCTCCTTTTTCCGAGCTAACGCTATTTTATTCGACGCGAGTATCGATCGCTCGCAATAAAGAAGCGAGGAACGCGCTTCATTGAACGAAGTCCCTCAAAATTTCGTTTCTGCGTAAAAGCTTCTCGAAAACGTTTCTCCTATCGAGAGAAAGTAGAAAAAGTTACTCTCGACTATGTCCGCGCACGAAACATTCCTGTAAATAAATAATTGACTGATGCTCTTTGATACTCTAGCGAAAATCTCTACTGTCTCGATCAAGAACCGAAGATCGAGTACGATCTACGATGCAATTCGATTTATGATTTTAACTTTGACCGTCGCATGGATTAGACGCGAAATTCGACGTGATCGTCGTTCGTTGCTTTACAACTTGCATCTGCTGTTTCTGTTTCGAGAATACACCGACTTTGGTCGACTTACAAGTCGACACAAGTCGGTCAGGAGATAAGGAGTGAAACAAACACGACTTTATCCCTCATTATATTCCTGCCTCGAAATCTCCCAAGAGCACTTCTTTCGTAATAAACATACATAAAAAAAAATATCATTTCCGTTTTATTGTCTTTTATTTATCTTACCCGTATTTCAGAATCAAATCTTTTTTTCATCTTTCTTTTGACTAATGCATGATATGGTAAAAAGAGCAATGAATAGTGTTGTTTCAAGAAATAAATTCATATAAACAATTTATATAAATTCATATAAACAATTTTAGCAATAAGCGCTACTTTAATACTGGCTCAATAATTCCTTTGATTTCGTAAACAAGTGTAGTAATGATTTCTCCTACTCCATACACTTAAAAGGTGTATTCATTTTCTTGCATGACTCGCCAAAAGATGTTCAGAATGTGTGTTTTTTGACATATAAAATGTAGAGAAAATAAGTTTAATCCGAGTGACTTCGAGAAAATCTTAAACTTGATGATTAAATTTTTGAAGCGCTCTAAGGAGATTTCTTTGAAGCAAGAAATGCCCGAATACGTTTCGTAGATGCCAATTGATATTCCAAAGACATCGTCCCATGTCGGCAATGTCGAGAACAACGATGACATCATGCCGATTAGTGAGCGTTGTCCAGTGTCGCGTCCGGATGACAGTAGACTGAATACCTTGCTGGCAGAACGAGCGCTTCTAATTCGGCGGTAAGGTGTCGTCTAATCATGTGTTTGGCCGGCGGTATACCCAAGGCGGTGGCCATGGTGTCACCAGTAAATGATGGCTCCAATACAACCAGAGCACCGTGCACACCCGAGTCTGTGGAGAAGAGATTTTTTTTCT